CAGGCCAGATCATGATACTCACTTAAAGACACTTAAAGAACTCCATGCAGACTTTTCTCCGTGTGACATACCTCCAATCAGTGCATCTTAAAAATAGACGAGCATTAGTTAAATGCATGAAACTCAGGAAGATCAGAGGTAGTGAAAAAACAAGCTGCAAAGTTGGAGTCGCTGGAAAAAAAGGGAGAGGAAGAAGAGGAAGACAAAGAAAATGGGGTAAAAAATGGCAGAAAACAAAAAAAAAACAAAAGGAAAGTGTGACACGCATGGAGAAACACGCTCCACCATGCTGGGAAAAAAGACACCCAGACACCTTCTTTGACAAGTAAAAAGCCTCAGGGGTTGGCCAAGGCACTCTGACAATCAATGTCACTCACCACCACCCCCCCACACACGCTAACATACCAGCAAAGACAGCACTGCGGTGACACACACACACACACTGAGAGAGCCTCAGAGTGCAGGTTTAGGAGTTTCCAGGAGAGAGATTTTACCTTCTGACAGTCGCTGTCAATCAAGATGCACTCAGACTCCAAAATTCCTGAATGCACTTTTATTCCTGGTCTGATGAACAGATGGGAACTTTCCCATTAAGCAGCCTGTTATTAAATCTCCCAGAGATTTTTACCTACATTCAGCTAATCATCGTTTGCTGTAAATGAGTCAATAATCATTTGGAATTTAATTTCAATGCCGATAGAGGAATTTATATTTCTCATTTAAAATTTACATCGGAATCAGCATCATTGAATCTTTGAACTTTGATCAAATTGCTTTTAAATGGTAGGGAAATCATATTTAAATGTCAAATCATTCTGGCTTAAACATGTATATAAATGTACTCTTCGTCAGACGATATTGTCCCAAAATTTAGAAAGTGTCTATTTAAAAATAAAATCCTGTTTTTTTTCCCATTATCTTATGCAGGCCAGTTAGTTATAGATCAGCTTGTACACCTGAATTAGGCCAATCATATATCAACAGTCATCTGTCAATAAATTTTTTTTGGTCATAGCATCTTGATTCATATGTTTCTGCTAATGTACACAACGGTTGAAATAAGAATCTTCGAATCGCAGACTAGTGGTGACCATTACAGGTGTATAGTTGTAGAGCGAATAATTGAGACTTATTAGGCTATAGTGTGCAGTTGTAAGAGAGTGAGTGATTTCTGACAGGGGAAACTCATCCACGACCTCCGACACTAAACTCTCCTCCTCTTGCATGTTTCCTCTGTCCATAGCGTTCCTTGACAGTGTCGTTTCTAAGTCACCAATTTAGTGCTACTTGGTCCCAATGGAATTTCCCATAGGGAACCTACTAGAACTAAGTTGCTAACTGGTTAGCAAGATGCTTCCGACAAACCGGCCACAATGAAACTTACTTGCGAACCTTCCGCCACAACAATGCCACGACCAATTACATTCACTTTATTCACTCTTGTAAAGTCGTGCACCACCCGGGAGAATTCAAAACTGCCACGGTTTGAACAGCCGCTTCCCTACGACTTTAAAGAAACAGAAAGATGGACCGACAACCACACAGCCAGGGCTTCTCCAGAACACACGAAGGGCCCAATATTCAATTATTTTTGTCGTAGGAAGTGATCGTCAAAGATTTCTTCACAAAAGTTAAGACCATGTGGTTGCTTCCATTTTAGGCCTCGTTCACACTGCAGGCCTTGATGCTCAATTCCAATTTTTATCTTGAAATCCAATTTTTTTGCGTGGCCATTCACATTTCCAAATGTGAAATATTTGACAAAAAACAGGTCGCATACCTGCCAAATAAAATCGGATTGAGGTCACTTCAGGCTGATGCGTGAACGTAGCCAAGATAAGCCCTTTACGGGATCTACTGGCACTTTGAGAAAGACGAGGTTCTAAGCCATAGAGATGGAGGACATTTTTATTCAACCTCGAAACACTTAGATGGTGAAAAAGCAGCAATTAGGAAAATGGATTGATATGAAAAAACTTAAAGAAGACGTAATGCACAGACTGTTGAACAGGAACTGAGCATCATCCAGAGACTGGTCTAGCAGTTCTGGTTGGCTGGAACAGAGGCTTATGATGAGGTGATTGGTTGAAAGTGAGACCTCCAGACTGAATAACATTTATTTTATTAAATGCTAATGATATTTCTAATAAATAATATAAAGTACAACTTAGTAACTGAAATTGTTTGGAACAAAAGTATAAAAAACAAAGTAATGAAACTGCAAATGCTAATAATTTAATAACATTTCAAGCCCAATAAAAACGCTAGTTTTTGATCAATGGAAATCTTCTCGCTAACATCCAGCAGACCAAAAGAAATGCATCTATGCTCTGATCTGTAAAACACAATTTGAAAAGAATGAAATTCATGAAATTCAATCTGAAAAAGAGACATGAAAAAGTAAATATACTATGTTGGATTCAGGAAAAATAACTTTGCAAAAAAATAGAAATTGAGTCTGCACAGGAAAGAGATTCAAGCAGCTTCTGCAGGAGCGGAAAGAAAAGCCCAACCCAACTTCAAGCTTTCCTTCTCCGAATCCCCTCCTGCAGCCGTCTTTTATTAACAGAGCATAGCACATGATTACAAAACAGCATTTGTTCTGACAGAACAATTGATCAGTTCATAAAGACAGGATGCTCCATCAGAATGACAAGGCAAGATGGTCTCCTGACTGCATCACAAGACACAGTGCAGCAGGCAGGATGGTCTCCTGACTGCACAAATGTTTCATAAGCACACATTAATTTTATAATCATCATTGATTAAACCTGACATACTATATAAAAATATATTTAAAAACAAGATAGGGAAAAAAATGCAGATCTGCACATCAGGTCTAATTTAATACCATGTTGGAAACTCTTGGCATTTTTGGTATCCCATGAGCTTTTTTTTTGTTGTTGTTGCTGTTTTTTTTTTACTATATTTGTTTGGAAATTACTTAAAAAAATTAAACATGAATGTTATTTTTGTCATGACCCCTGAGAGAAATCCAAATATATTTTCTGCAAATAGTGTAGTTTCTAAAGTTGGTTTATTCTAACTAGATTTGATGTGTTAATATTCTGAGTTGAGGATATTCAGAAGGGGCCCTAAAAACCAAAGCTGGAGAGAATTTGTTCAGAAGCTTTTAGGTGACATGTTGGCAGCTACTGTACGTATCGTCTCTGATGAAGACAAATGGGCCGGCGAATGACGGATGGAAATATGTGGGTGACAGGTGTGTGGGACGGGTACACTGGCTGGTGACAGCACCTTGTAGGAGGGGAGAAAAGGTAAAAGGTTGCAGCCATGAAGGAATGAAAAGAGCAGGTTTAAAAGAAAGGACACCCACTGACAGAGGAAACAGCCTCAGGCAAAGCTGATAGGAAAAATAAGATGAATTCTTGAACAACAATGCATACAGACTTTTGAGACTTTCTGAGATTATAAATATGATGACATTTTCAGAATAATGTAATTAAAATGATAATAATTCATATTAAGCACACAAATATACAATGCTCTGCATCATACATTCATGTTTAATGTTCATGTTCAACATTTTCACTGAGTAAATGACCCTAGAGACTCAAATGGTTCAAATGAATCAAGGCTGCAATAAAAAAAAAGACAAAGTTTAGAGAGCCGTACTTAATGAAATTTCTTTTTGTATACACTTGTGTGTACAAAATGACAAAATAAAATCTGTCTAAGTCTCTAAGTCTAAATGGAATAGTCTGACCAAGCTGGATCTCAGTATGGGAAAGAAATAAAAGTGGGCTGAAGCAATAACCCTGAGGCACTCCTTTTTTTAACCAACGCTGTCAGGGGGTAAGAGTTAGGTTTTCAGATATATTCTTTACCATACAGATATATATGATTAAAACAAAGAACAAAAGACCATAGAAGCAGGTGGTAAAAAACATAATTTAATAAATAAATAAAAATAAATGGAAAGAAAGCAAGTTTGCAGTGGCAGCAGATTCAGCATCATGTCTGCGAGGAAGTTTGTTGGTGGTGGGCGTGAACGCAGGGAGGATCGATCACACTCACCTTCACGTTCACCCTATACTGAGGATGAAGTCTGGAGGAGAACTGACGGTTTCCTCCTGTGAACCCCGCTCACGTTACTCATAGTCTTTGTATAAGCTAAACGCCACCACTTATGAGTAATTTATAAAATCCTATACACTACTGTTTATGCTCTAAAAACATTCTAAATGACTTTGTTTCGAGTAAATTCTGGATGCTACCCACTCAGGACACTTGGAATACATTGGACGAGCAGTATGGAGGAATATTGACACGTTTTTTTTGGACTTTTATGGACCTTTCTGTCTCGGGCGCCATAGATCTCCATTATTTGAATGTCAGCAGACAGCAAGAAGCCTCCCAGATCTCCAGATGCATTTGAGATATCAAAAAAGTACTCCAGAGTGTTGTTCAGCATGGGGGTGAGTAGAAAATGAAGGCTAATCATGTTTTGGGTGTACTATTCCTTTAACGTATGTCATTGATCAGATAACTTACCTGTAACTCAAGTATGGCGTACATGGGGAACAAGAACCTACTGCTTCTGCTTTACTACACTAAAGTTACAAGTCAGTTAAACTAAAGCAGTAAAGTCAGCTACTGCTTTAGTGTAACTGACTTTAAATATGTATATAAAAAAGCAATTTAGGTTGAGATTGCTGTACACCACAAAAAACACCAAAAAGTAAGTAAATAGATAGATTTTTTATACATGACTAAAGGGAAGCACGCCCATTGAGGTAGTTTAAAGTTTATTTTTGGTACAAAACTAAAGGGATAAAATAAAGGGATAAATGTGTACTGACTATGGGTATGTTGGTCTGTCCGGGTTTGTTGATCTGACAGAACACCTGCAGGGGGGGGCATAGGACAATGGACATAGGTCCCCAATGTCCGAACGGAATATAATGGCTTATGGCAAAAACCAGTTATCAGATGTGAAGGATGTTAACTTTTTGTCTGTGTGTGTTTTCTCTCTACAGGAAACCAAAATAAACTGCGTCCGTCTGGCTCGCAAAGGTATGAGCACCCTTCCATTGATACACAGCATCATTAGTGAAGTATTAGGACTTTCATAGTTTCATAGATACTTTTGGTATCGACCCAGAGGAGTAGGTTCTATTAGGAAAGAGCTGTTTTACACCAACACACACACTCTGCAGGAAAAAGGCCAACTATTCATGACCTGTTGACCCTGCATGCTCTTCTCCCATCTCCTCTGCTCCAGTATTTCTCTCATTCTGCTCCTTTCCTTCTGTCCGGCTCTTGTTTCGTCATCTCATGCCACGTCCAGCCAGTCGGCTTTATTAGACCCACTGGACAGATGCTACAGCGTTACCTCCAGCTCTGACCCCTCCATTGCTCTCTCTGTGTCTCAGATCTTTAGTTGCTGTTCATCTTTCACAAATCCACCCATTTGTGCGCCGGGCTGTGTGCTTTGAGAGCTTTTCAGCTTGCTATCGATTTTTCTCACCTTCTGTTTATTTTTCCATCTTCATCAAGCATTGATTTGATTTTTCCACATTTTCAATCTCTATTTCTGTCTCATCCACAGTACATCAAGCCTTTATTGCTCATTTGTGCACATTTCTCTCTTTTATAGCTTTTGGTTTCTTCATTTATTATACTGAATGTTTGTTTTTGTTTTTTTCTTTAGGTAATATATGTTAGGGTGTGAAAACACTACGCTATGACTGTCTGCATTAGGAAAGACATGCTTCTCACTTTGCGGCTGTCTTCATACCCCAAAGTTTTCTGCTTAAATGTGGAAACCTTTATTGAGTCCGAATGTAATTTAAATGGACTTGTTAGTTTTAAAGTAGGCAGTGTTAAGTTGCAAAGCAGATGGTCAATTTTAAGAAAGCTTAATGGTTTTCTTAATGTAGTTCTGCAACAAAAATGGCAGCTGTCTCTTTAGTCCAATCAGAGAATTTTAGAAGCAAATTGAAGTTGAAATAAAATTTAAAGCAGTAATCTGGGTGGGAACCTTTCTGCACATAATGCAGGGATAAATCAGAGTTAGAGAGATATTTAATGTTGGCTCAAATAAGTTTTATTTTAAAATTATCTGAAAGCACAAAGTCAAACAGGTCCAGTTTTTTCTGGTTATTCCAGGTCAGTCCATTTTCACTCAGTTTTATTCTCGTTGAGTTTAATCCAATTAAATCAGATCATGTAGATCATCCTATTTCAAATATTTCAACTTCTCTTCAAGGAATTTAGATCACAAGGTGGCAGTAGAGAGGAATGTCTCCCTTTAAAGGGGTTATAGAATGCAAAACCGAGTTTCCATTGTCGTGGATGAATAACGATAGTTCAGTGGGGGAAATGGACGTACAAAAAAATTCAAACCCCATCAACACCTACTTTCTCTGCAAATCTCACAATTGTAAACTTCCACCTTAAAACGGGTGAATCCAAACGAAGCCCAGAGTTGACGTCAATTCGGGGATGTTGCCTTATTTGGTTCTGGCCTGTACTTTAGTCAAGCCCCAATATAGACATACAGACCAGCCGACTGGTTCACTGGGCCAAGGGAGGAGGGGGTACGAAGTGTCGACTGCTGGGCCGCTGACTGGACCGGACCTCAGCAGAGAGCCATGAGCCGCCTGTCCTCAGCCGGAGGAGGGAGGCTGGGGGAAGCATGGGGCTGCCGGTGTCCAGGCTATGGTCGGGGTCGGGTTTGGTAGCTCTATTTCCTGCTGGCTCCCTGCCCCCATCCGCCGGGGTTCCCGGACCAGCCCCGGAGCTCACGGCTCGGTTCTGCTGCACTGTAGTCGACCAAAATCCCAGACGATTTTCAAATTCCCCCTGGACATTTTTTTAGATATGAAAATTAGGACATGTCTGGGAAAAAGAGGACATCTGGTCACCCTACAATATCAACAATCTGATGTTTCAGTGAGCGAGTGCTTGTTGCTATGATGCGTCTTTGCTCAGCAGCTTCGCTCGTTGAAAACCAACCAATTAGCTCTCATAGAACAGCAAATATGCCATTTTTAGCCCAACCAATGTTACACACCCTATTCAGAGACCCTAAGGACCAGCACCAAATATCGTATAGAACCATTCTATGACCCCTTTAAAGAAGGAAAATCTCCTGCAGAAGCAGGTTTAGTTTCAGCAGCCGACCAGCGACAGATGAACAGTTCTGCAGTTTGTAAGGCATAATCAGAAAGAACAAAATGAGCCAGCTCAGCATCATGAGGAGGAGGAAAAGGTGTTCAGGACTGTAGTCTGACTGCGTTAGTCCCTGAGGCACGGCTCCAGTGAGTCAGCTCTTTGAACTACAGCAAAATGAGACGTTTCTGTTCAGAAAATAAAGAACGTCTGTTTCTCTTCAAGATAACGTGGAAATGGATTTAACAGAGTCAATAAAAGCATAAAATTAGAGACACGTAGGAGAAGCTCTCTTTTATTTTCATCAGAACCCTTGAAGCCGAATTTTGATCAATTTCTTCTCTTTATTGCAGAAACTTGGGAAAAAATTAAAAACTGGAAAAAAAAGTATGAAAAAAAGTATTTTAATGTGAGAAGAAAAGGATATTAGATGAATAAAACATAGCTAAAAATAGAATACTTATACCATACTTATATATACATAAACAAATAAAATATTAAAAACTGAAAAGTATTTTTAAAACTGAAAAAAATTTAAAAGGATTTTTTTTTTTAAACTAGAAAAAAAAAGATTGGCTACCTTTTTTTTCCTTTTTTTTTTACTGAAAAAAGAATTTGCAATTAAAGCATAATTTTTAAACTGAAATGAAAAAGATATCAAACTGAAGAAAATATAAATTAAAAATATAGGGTTTTAAAAAACAAAGGTATTTTTAAACTCTTAAAACAACTTTGCCTTTTAAAAGTTTTCTTTTTAGTTTTAAACTGCTTCCCCTTCGGGAAGAAGACATGGAGGGACAGACACCTTCTTCCCCTGGACTAGATATTCCCACTGTGGCATTCAGGAACTGTGGGAAATTAAAAAGCCTCCAAAAGGCTATTGGCATTGTGCTTTAGTGTAACTGACTTTAAAAGACTGACATATTTCAGTGATTTAAGTGTCATCAGGGAGATGATGTAGAGAAATGTAGACGTTTCTACTTCCATGGGTTCCTGAATCCACCAATAATAAACTTTCAGTCATCATTCCATGCCTCACATTATGTTAAGCCCCGCCCCCACGAAGAAAATTATTTAAGAAATTGGAAAGTAATTTTAACATTTTTTTTTCAGTTTCAAATAATATTTTTTTTTTTTCCAAAAAAAATAAAAATTAAATTAAATAAAACCAACTATACGGCCCCAGTGTAGCTCCATAATTTCCGCCCCCCAAAAAAACATTCTTTCCACATTAATATGTCTGAGTTGACTTTAAAATTGTTTCAGTTCTGGGATTTTCCTGAAAGCCACAGCCACCCCTTAACCAAAGTCAGCCACCATGTTTTTTTATTAATTTTTTTAAAAAGGTTTCCTTTAACCTCCAGCCTGGCGCTGAAAAGGTTAATTCCTATAGATTCCCGTTGCACCGTTTCCCTCCATCCTCTATAATCCAGAATAACGAGGTAGAGCTTTACAACCTGCAGCGTCTCTGAAACAAACATTTTCTGTCAGCTTTATTGAACCGTTCATCCAGTAGTATTTCATTCAAGTCGTCTGCTGCAGACGATATGAGTCAGATATGGAGAGTGCTTCATTTCACTGCAGCAGACACATTTTAGAAGCACGCTATGTGTTTGAAATGAGCTGCCAGATAAGAAGATTCAATGTTAAAGAGCTTCAAAACAACTCATCTTTGGATTTCGTTACAAGTAGTGAAACTGTACTAGCCGCAGTATTTCAAAGTGGAATGATCACAAACCATGGCTGACTGTAAAGCATGGCCTGGTAAAACCCTGAAAGATAATTTATTTCTAATTTTAAATCTTGAATCTGTTTTCTATAGATCTGTCTCATACTTTAAAGATCTGAGCCTTTCTGGCAAATATGTTTTTCCGATTCAATCAATGGTCAGCTCCAGTGGCCTCGACAGGCAGCTCGCAGCATAACAAGCTTTAGCTCTACTGAAACACGAGACATACAACACAGTTATTCAAATGCAGATCAAGATTAATCGGAAAATCCTGCAACATTGGATAAATATTAGATCGCTTTGCTTCCATATTCTGCTTGGTAGTTCTTCCTCTGATGTACCTGGGTATAAAATCAAGGTAGTGCATCAGTAAATGGAAAAAAGGCAGCTTTGTGGTAGTCGCTATTCAATTAGATTTATTTCTATAGCGTCAATTAAAAACATGTCATCTCAAGACAGTTTACAGAGATATTTGAATCCGATCATCCAGCTGATTGCATCCAGTCATTTGCAGGATCCGCTCCTCCTGGATGAGCAGCTAGAGAAATGGCGACTTTACAGCAATCCCTCACAACAATCATGCATGCAGCAACAGTGGAGAGGAAAACTCCCTTTTAACAGGAAGAAACCTCCACCAGAACCAGGCTCAGTTTGAGTGGCTTCTGCTGAGACAGACTGGGGTTCAAGGAGATACGGAACGTAAATGCATTGCTCTATAAAGACTTTCGATGTTAGAAAATCTAAAGGTAAACTAGCTCCACAGGTGGCTCTACCTGGGAAAGAAACAGTTAATCATATGAGCTCTGAGCCAGTTTTCATGTTAAAGGATGAAAATGAGAACATCCAATTAGTGACAGTAAAAGCTGGACCCATACCTATGTCTTGGATAGAAACAGGACTAAACACTAAGAAATAAGCCAAACTGCATAATCTATGATGGTATGGAGTGAAAACTGTTCCAATACCATTTTAAGCAAAAAAAACAACAAACATGTTTTGCTAATGAAAATTTAAAAAGAAACACTATTTGTAAATGAAAATTAATTATTCCAAAATTTGCATATAATATTTATTTTTTTCAATTCTTTTTTGGTACTTTTATTTGTAAAATTTCTGTTTTCCACACTCAGTTTTATGAATTATAGTTTTTTTTTCAGTTTTGTTTTTCCAGATCACATTTTCTTCACGTAGGCTTTCCTCTGAAGTGAGGAACATTTCTTTCGGTCTGCAGGCCGTTAGCACATAGTGGTCAATGTGCGCATTAAGAGTGAAAGATGATCTATGAAACATAATTTTAAAGATTTAAAATGATAAAAATTCAATCTGAATGAGAGAAATTTCTAAAAGTTAAATGTATTTGTTAAAAAAAATTCTAAAGATTAAATCTAAAAAACAGCAAAAATACTCGTCTGTCAAATTTCCATTTACAAAACTTATTTGCTTGCAACAATTATGCACCAAAATTTCTGCCATTAAATGGTAGTTGCTGACAGCAGTAAACCAACTGAGAGGGCAAAAAACAAGAAGAACATAACCAAGAAGACAAAGACAATCTAAAAACTATAATCTAAAAACTACTGCAGAAATTCAGAAATAGAAGCAGAGAGAGAAAAGTAGTCCCTTTGTCCTCCGGCAGCCAAAGCCTATAGCAGCATATCCTTGCTTTTATGTTTTAGTCTAGGCTAAGACCAGACATGAACAGAATTTTAGGTCTTTCTTTTGTATTTAAAAAAATGCTATTTCACGGAAAAAAAATTAAATAAAATAACACAGTTGTCATTTTTATGGATCCAGATTTTTTATGCCTTGAATTCCAAGCGCAGTTAAAAAATCCACAGAAAGAGAGAATTATGCTTTAGCTTCTTTAGAAAGAACTAGTCTGAAAAAAACAGAATCAAGCATATAACTGCAAATAAAAACATACTGGCAAAAGAAAAAGTTGAGTACCTAATCAGGAGGTCGAAGGAAAATAAAGTTCTTTCTGTGAGATCATTTTCTGGTATCGAATGTAATTTAGAAAGGGCTGCAGCAGTGGTCAGAGGTGGGAGCAGAAGGTCAGCAGACACAAAGAAAGCCTTATAGATCCATAATTGAGGCTTTCTCTTTACCACAGGTGTGTTAGTGCCCTTATGATCACTGGTTTCAACATCAATCTGCTTTCAGGGTTTTGCCCGCGCCAAAAGCAAAAAACAAAACATAAAAAAAACAACAAACAGCTCCTTCAAACTAAATGACGTACCCATTCCTGCCTCAGAAATGTGAAACCATATATCAGCAGACATAATTATCAGTTTCTTTCCTCTACAAGTTGCCAGAAAGATTTTTTTTATCCATCTCTTCCTTTCCTCCATTGTCTCTTCCCTTTGGTTTTATTAACCCGTCAGTCCAGGCTGGCAGATCCCAATGCTAACTCCAAACACAACATCTGCATTCACTGACCACTCTTTACTAATAAGCATATTGGACACACCAGTCAGGCCTCCTCCTGGTAATTAGACGGACTGTTTATCCTTGGCCGATAAGTCATATCCCAGCAGAAGTGCTATTGATCTCATCTCTCACCACAGCAGCTTCTCTCCTCTAGACAGATCAAACTGGGGGGGGGATCTAATGAAACTGATAAATCAAATCATTTATCCTTTTTCTTAGACTTTTTTCTTCTTTCTTTTCCTTTTTTGTTGTTGTTTGTTTTTTCTCTCTCCCCTCTCTTCCTCTCATGCTTTCCGGCGGGGACGTGTGGCCCTTGGCCTTAGTGGTAATAGGTAGGGGACAAATAACAACGCCGTACATTCTAGTCATCCCCAGCGAAGGTGATTATTTCTCTATAGGCAGAATATCTTCTTCCCTATGTTATGTCACAGCTAAACCATACAACACGACGCAAAACACTAATTCATGTTGGTTGTTTCCTGCCCTACACCTTCTCCACTTTATCCCTCTGTTTCTTGATTTGTCTCGGTTTTGTTTCCATGGTTTCGGGGCTCTTTGGTTGTTGTTGTTGTTCCTTCTCATCATCATCTTCTCATCTTTACTGCATTTGTTTGCATGTTTGCTCGGCTTCTCGTGTTGCCGGCTGTGGTGGAAGCTCAACTGTCTTGCATGCAAACTCACGTCCTTCAGTGGTATCACGGTTTATAGTCCAAGAATTCTAAAGAAATAACAGAGGTTTTCTTTATTTTGGTTTATTTTTCATCTAATAACAAAGTGTTTTACTTTAATCCTTTATAGGGCAAGTTACGGTCTTTGATCACTTGCATCCCCCTTACAAAAGGAGCCCCCCCCATCCCTCATTGAGGTCTAGAAGCACCAGATCTATATCCAGCCATTCAGCAAAGATGCTGCTACATGGCTGTACACCTTATTTTGGCATTTGACCAATTAGATGAGCCCTTGAATGATATATTACCTACTGTAAATTAAGCTGGAAGAAAAAAGTTAACTCAAGAAAAAAAGGTAAAAAGCTAAATGAAAATGTAAAAAGTAAAGTTAAAAAGTTTATAAGCCTCGTTAACAATTATATTTAGGTTTTAAACTAAAAAATATAGGTGCCAGTATCAGCATCAAAGCCTCTAATTCACTGTTGTACCAAAAACAATGAATGTTTTTCATGAATCTCTGATAGAAGCACTTTTGTTATTTTTCTTAATATATTCCAGCAAGTTGGCGTTTCTTGTTATTACATTGACATTCATTTTTACTATCAAAATATCAATATTTTTTTAATGTTACAAAGGTAATAAGGTTTTGTCCTGGATTCCAATAACACTATTGGGTTGAAATTTTGCTTTTCCAAGTATTTCAGTGAGTGCTCTATAATTAAAGTAAGGAGATAAAACAAAGGAAATCGTCAAAAAGATAAAACTTTGAAGCTACACATTGTCTATAGATGCCTTTTGCTCCGTTCAACTTGAACAACAATCCACAACTTATGAGCCTGAATGTTAATCCAGCTAAATACAAATAAACACATGAAATGGTGAATTATGATGGCAGCTTTCATCTACCTTAAAATGAACAGAAGCCTCTTTTTCACAGCATCATTCAGTTCGTTTGTTTTCATTCTTTCATTTGAATCAGAGACTTTTATTCTTGACTCTGTAGAAATGATAATTATTTTCTATGGACTTTACCTCAGACATACATGAAACAGACTTTTTCTGCTGATCCCTGATATCTGTTGGACCCCACTGATGCTACCTTTCTCTTTATAGAGACTTTGCATCAACTTTTCATTTAGTTTGTCTTTATGGTCCAAATTGAAACGGACGAACAGGTCCACCCCTTTGGAATGGGGGTCATTGTTTCTATTTCAATTTGCATGTCTTCTAAACAAAAACAAGGCTTTGTTGGGCTACTGTATAAAGCCTCGAACTTAACGCTATTTCTGACGTCTTCAAATAAGTCCAGTGGATTGTTTTTTTTTTCCTTTTTTGGCATGACTATGACCTGGATGACTGAGAATCTTCACCAGCATTTATAAAGTCCAATCTGCACAAGTTAATTCACTCAGCTTGGACTCACCTGGACTTGTTTTCTCCGTACGGCCATTGTTCGTTGCAGGAAACATCTTTAATTCCTGTACAGTGTGTAAAAGTAGAGATAAAAAGTTTTACCCTACACTAAAAAGCATTCCTTCTCTTTAGATACTGTGTTTGTTTAGTGAGGAAACATGACAGCAAAACATAAATGTCTTTCAACGAAAAGTTTACTGTTTACCTGAACAATGCAGACACGACAATAATTCAGTTGTTAACGACCGCCGCTTCTTTCAACACACAGTGGCTGATGATTAAAGATGCAGACTGCAGCAGAGACAGTTACACATCCAACAAAGATCTACTGGAACCCTGCGTTCAATAGATAAGAACTGTTTTCATATGAAGGCAGAAAAGATTAAAACTGGATTTCATAACAAAGATAATACTTCAGGCCTCCTATCTTCCCGGTCTCTCTTTAATAAGCGAGCAGAAATAGATTGTTTCTTTGTGCTCATTTGAGGACTTTTTCCAAACTTAGAGATAGGTCCTAATAAAAATGTCTTACTTTCCCTTATTTAATGAAATCTGGTTCAAATTCAAACTCAAGAGCAAAGTAAATTAAAAAGTATGACTACTTGGAATAAAAACTTTTTTTTTACTCACTGTAAGGGACCAGAGTTAAAGATCAGAAATGTGATATGCAGGGTTTAAGGATGCATCCCTCAGTAGATGTAGCTCCTCTTCAGTGAAAAACAAACATTCAGACGGATTCTCAGCTCTTTTTTTTAAAGTCGTAGGGAAAAAATATTTAAAAGTCAAATCATTCTGGCTTAAACATGTACATAAATGTACTCTTTATCAGATGATATTGTCCTAAAAGTTAGAAAAGTTCTATTTAAAAAAAAATATATATCTGTGTTTTTTTCATCATATTCTGCAGGCCAGTTAGTTATACGTCAGCCTGAACATCTAAATTCAGCCAATCAAATATCAACGGTCATATGTCAATCAAATTTTTTCGGTCATAGCATCTTGATTCATATGTCGCAGCTAATATACGCAACAGCTGAAATCAGAAATCAGAATCATGTCCTTTCCCATTGAGTTCTGTCCCAGTGTTCACGGGGATGGACGTCTGTGTCTTCAGCAGGCGTAGAGCTAACAGAACTGGCAGCGTTGCGAGGCAAGGGCTCAAACATGTACGGCTGGAAGCCTTCTACACCAAACCAAGCTT